TAGGAGTAGAAAAAAAAATCAATGCAAACATTCAATACAAATTAAATCGCACAACTTAATAGAAGTAGTTATAATTTAATTTATTCAAGTGAGGGTAAGTTAAGATCATAAAATTACTATTTATTTAGTAAATTAGTTTGTAATGTATTCAATTAAATTTGTGAAGGAGTGTCTTAAACTTCCTACACTTAAGAGACAATTATGATACGTTATTAATACTCAAAGTCTCTATAAGTCGGAAGTCCAAAAGCACTATAAATATAGGGTGTTTTTTCTTTTGTTGATCTATAAGTCCACTGTATTCAAGTTCAATAAAATAAAACAATCTAATATTGTTGCCCATGAATCAAGTTCTGACTTGGAGTGAACAACATATATTTCTTTTATGTTTTTCTTTTTCCTTTCTTTTCTCATAGCTGTCTATCGTTCTCAACTTGTTTTACATTCATTTTCAAACGTCTTACGTGATACAAATAGCAAAATTTAAGAAAGCATTTCTTTATGCGAGATTAATAGTAAATAGTAGTGTGAATGTTTTTAAATTTGAAGGTATAGTTACACCAATGAAATCAAACACATGTAGAACACAGTAGTCATTTCAATAGGTTAGCTACTTGTGAACATGTAACCTTACTCACATGCAGTCATTAATTAGCCAAGTTTTGGAGTTTGAATCGGCAACAGTTCCTCCACAGTAGAAACCCAGTTCAAATGGATCACGCTTTGTTCACTATATGTCAGTGTTAGCAAAATATTTGTTAAAGTTGGATTAAATTAGCCAGTAGAGCAAATTAATGGGTTAGAAACTAGTTAAATTGGTAAAAAAATGGATAACATTAGGCAAAAATCTGTAAATAATCAAAATGCATTTTATAAATTTTTTTACTCTAAAACGTTGTTAAGATAAAATTTATTAGGACTTTTTATTTTATTTTATAGAACATGTAAATAATTCTTTTATGTTGATTTAAAAATTTAACTAAATTTTAACTACAAATATTATTATTATCAAATTGATCATATTTCAATTATGGTTGAACTAATAAATTACAAGCCAAAATCCTTACCAACGTAATAACGATTTAACAAACATTAGTCAGCAAAGTAATAATTCTAGAAACAGAGAACCTCACTTACATCCGAGCTAGCTCTAGAGGCTTGCCTCCTTGCTGAAACCTTATGCTAAAAGAATGTGGTTTGGTTAAAGCTCAACATTTTTTTTTATTAAATATAGTTAAAAACCCATGCAGCTAGTTTTTTTCTTACTTAAAAAAAAACCATTCACGATTACTTTGATCTTAGTTAATGAAAAGCCTTTAGAATTCTTGGCATGTGATAGAATGATTATGCTATATGAAGCCTTTTTAATAGTTTCTTTGGGTACTAGCGCTGTATGTAGATTTAAAGTCTTCATATTGGAAAACCTTTTTGGTTTCAAATTAAAACTTTAACAGAGGATAATGTTATCTTTTCTAAAATGTTTATTTTAACACCAAGAGGGGAAATACATTAATAGACTAACATGAAACCTTGTCGGAATTTGTACAGTGTATGTAGCAAAGTCCATACCCACTCGTGCACTTGCTTGGTGCCAACAATAGAAGCTTCTCAAATTAAGATATAATATCCCAAAGGGTGATTTCAGTCAAATCAGGAATGTATGTTTCATTGTGAAGATATTATAAATTAATATGTTAGTAACCAATATATTTTGAGAAGGAAACTTTGATTTTGATCATTGTGGGGGTGTTACATGCAATGATTTCATTTTACTGGCCAGACTCTGAAATGCATCTTAAACCTGCCACTTTTTCACATTCAACATAAACAACTCAACAATGTCAGCTGAGTTACAACAAAATTTTGCCTACCCTATGTAAAGGAGGGAAATCAACTTCCAAAATACATTCTTACAATGTTTGGCAAGTCAACTGGGTAAGCGTTGCAGCTATAAAAATGCAAATTTCAGTTACATTGTAATTATATTATAAGATAATAAATAATCTAAGACAAATAAAAAGCATTCAAATAACATTTAATGTGAACAAGAAGAAGTAGAATGTAACAGCCAACTTAATTGTGTCTCTATTATTTTGCAATAACACCTAAATCTCTTTGACATTAAGTAGTTGACCTTTTTATTCGTTGACATTTATTTTTGTGTCAACTTCTTTTTGGGAGTTTGATCCTTATCTAGTCAACTAATCCACTTGTTGTTATATTTACAAAACACATGTTTGAGGAAAAATAAATAACTATTGTTGGGTTTTGACATTTTGGTCAACATTCAACTGGTTACACGAGTAAGAAATGTCCCGTGAATTGTAAAGTTCTATTCTTATGGTCCTTGTTGAATTGGAAATTTCTAGGATTTTCTTGGTTGCAGATTATGTCAATGTGTGTCCACTCCACATTGTTTTTTCATTACGTAATTCTTTTATAGCGAAGATTGTATTTTCAAAATTAAAATATAGTATAGTGTTGATCAATTGAATAATAATTATAAGATTAATAATTATATACATATATGTTTTATAAATTTTTTAATTAATTACTATAGTAATAGTTTATCCTCTAAAATGTACTTGTTCACTTTTTTTTTTCTCTCTATTTCAACCTCTCACGTTTTTGGGTGAATTGTACTGCGAAGGCTGGAAAGCCCAGCTTAGATATAATTGGAATTGACTTGGGTTCAGGACCCGTTTAGCCTTCGTCCGATATGGGTTACTGGATTTACGTAAATAAGTTTTTGGGCCATTTTGTGAATACTTAACAAAATAAAAAAAGAGAGAGTGGATTCAGCAAATGTGAATAAAGTTTAGGTGCTTGTTAGCGTTTGTATAGTCATTAATAATTTTGTTAATGAGTATCTGCTCGTAACAAATGTTAAACCAGTATATTAGACGGAACTGGTAAAATACTTAAAAATAAATAAATAATGGAAACGGTATTTAATAGCATCAATATATTAAATATTATTATTCCTTGAAGAAGGCGAACGGTTTCTTTTGCCGCTTGTAGGCTTCCACTGCTCTTGCAAAAAGCTTTCAAAAGTAGACACTCGCTTACGCAGCTCACTCTGGAAAGTGAAGGAAAGCACCAGAAAATTTGGCTAAACTTTTACGATATTGAAATTCGATTCAATTATCATCATTCTTAATTTCGCTGTAATAACAAATTTTGCATCGTATTCAGAATTCTCCTTATACTTTGCTCTCGTCTTGCTCCAAAGAACTTGCTTCGCAGTTTCTTGGTTTCTTGGGCAACTTTTTCGGCAAAATCCCTTTCTCAAACTCAAGCGAACTCTCATTGCAAATTAAACTGCGCTTTGCGAACTGCGATCTTTGTTGTGATGAAAACTAGGGAATCAATCGGCCAATATTTCGCTGAAAAAAAAAATAAAACTGATCGAGAATGTTCTTCGGCGGTGATCCTTCTACGCGGAGGCGTGTTGATTTGGGAGGTCGCAGCTCAAAGGCAAGTGACATGAAGAAACTTCTAGAACAGACATGTATTGAAGGATGTCGGCGCTTACGTTTGCGCCAGCAGAACACTGCTGCGCTTAAAATTCAGGTATAAGTGCGTTTTCTTGGTTCTAATCTTGCGATTCCGTTGTGCATCACTGTTTCTTGCGACTGTTCCGCTCATCGTAATGCTTCATGGTGCGAAAATTTTCTTGGTTTTAACTGTTTCTTGCATTGCATGTCTTCCATCGTGTTGGAAAAAAGTTTAGACACCCAAATGTATTACTACTTATATACTAAAAAAATATTTATTGTCAGGAATGTATATGATGCAAGAAGTGATGATGGTATTCTGGCTTGCTGTCTAGTTATATAAGCATAGCATAACTTCTTGCATAGACGGGAGAGAAAGTACAACTGAACTGAGGGAGGGTGGAGTACCAAAAATGTAAAAGAATTCCAATGAAGTTCTTGAATCTCTTGGATCGATATGTATATATTCCCTTGAAACAACTGAGTGGATGGTGGAGTACCAAAGAAAATCCATAAACACATTCCCATCCCATAATAGATGCAAGGACATAAAAATAGACAACCTTGAATTTCTGGGGATTCCTTTGCAACTTGTTACATGCAAAGAATTGCAAAAGTATACTGCTATAAAATCAATGACTTCTTATTCTTGCCAAAACACTTAAAATGTATCTAAGGAAATTGGTCCAAGCTGAAAGGACATGCCCTTGGTTTACCAAGAACAAATTATTTCACTATCTCATGACAAGTTAGCCACTTTAAGTTGGAGGAATAAATTGCAAATGTTTCTGGATCTAGATCTGCTCTGCACATGAGACACTCATTAGAAGAAATCGCTGTGTTAAGTCTACTAATCTGTAAGGTGTATTAATTCTATTCTGTATTGTTTTAAAAATGAATGACTTAATCGTACTGTGAGTTTAAGACTTACAAGATGAGTTTGTCAATGGGAATCTCTGAAGATTAAAAGATTGCGTCAGAAACTGATATAAGGACTTAAAAAGCCACACCAAAATAATCCAAAATCCAATTTACCTGTTTGGGTTTGAGTAGCTAGAACTAGAATCAAGTAAAAGAAGATAGGACTTTGCTTCACTAGTTTCTCTGTCACTCGAGTTTTTGGTAAGAGAAAGTTCCAAGAAAACGAGGACCTCAAATGGTATAAAAGAACTTTTTTATGCGGAAGTTATGCATAGAATTAAAGGCGTAGGTTTTAGAGGAGAGAAAAACCTCGAACAAATGTTCCTGTATCCCTTTTCCTCTTTCATTATACCCATTGGCCTTCCCCCCAACTTGATGTGAATTATTTTGATGTTGTTTCATGGTTGCTATTTAAGGAAGTCATATATAAAACTGACTTAATCCATCAATGATATACTGTTTGCTTAAGATTTCAACATTAAAGGTTTTGATTCCAGTAATTTATTAATACACTACTTTCAACTCTTTCATTGCTTGTTTTAATTTTGGCAATGGTAGGTGCGCCTCAATTTGTATGATTTCATGGTAACTTTATTTTAAATTTATAAAATGGTTTGAATATTCAGTGCTAAATGAAAATAAGATTGAACTTTTGTGCAGTTCCTTAAGTTTATCGTGTAACGATATTATTAGTAGATCCAATTATTTAACTTACAAATTATTGACGTCAAGATATAATTCAGCAACAATATTTGACTGTTTCAAGCAATATTGTAGCAATGAAAGGAAAGGGAGGAAAAAAAGGGCGCGCAATTCTCAATCATAATCCTTGAGCTGGTGGTACCTCATTCAGATCCACTCCCTCCTCAGGCAAGTCTGAAGTAAATGGTCCCAAGATCCCATCACCGCTGAGAGTCAATCCACTCTGTGAACCAAAAAGTGTTAAGGTGACATAGGTCCATCTAAAGAACAAATATAATAACTCTAGCATGCATGGACGTTGTAGGTGATCAAAATATGATACCAATCAAACCCCAAGATAAAATTGCTAATCGCTGGAAGAAGTAATGTTTTCTTATCTCAATTCAGGTAATTAAACGATTCAGAAATCTAAAATATTAAATTCCACTTATATAAATGCACTGTGAAATTCCTTGTCTTATAAGATGGCTTTTAAAACATTTTATTTTTGTCATTTCAGAAGCTCCAACACTCTTCTTCAGCAGCAGTACGAACTGACTTTGTTATGCTTTTTGTATTTTAGTCTCTTTAATCCCTTGCTGTTACTCCATTTTCATTGGATTCAGATTTTTGAACATATAATAAACCAATAAATACCTCAGGTTGGAACCTAAGCATGTCTGCACGAGCCATAGCTTCTGCTTGGGCTATTCTCTCTCTGAATGTCTGAGCCATCTCCTCCGCCTTTAAGGTAAAAACAAAAAGGATAAGAATTACAAATGTGGATTCTCCTTCAAAAATGGCAAGGCTAATAAAAAAGGGTTGGATTTGATTTCAAACGTGTAACAGAACTAAAAGGGAATAGAACAAAAAAAGAATCCATTGATAGATAGCTAAAAAAGTGTAAGAACTAATGAAAGCCCATTTCACATTTGTAATTACATATGTAATGAGTAAAGGTTGAAGAACCTTTCTTTTCAAAATACCTTCTCAAAGACAAGCTTTGGATTGCGGATCATGTCTCCAGGTGTGGGTTCCAACTTCTTAGTGGAAAGACTCACTCGACCTCTCTCTCGATCATGACTCAAGATCATCACCTAAATAAATAAATAAATAATTGAGTTATTTAAATGCACACAACATTCTTAAATCTAGGCAAACATCCTTATTATATGTTTACCTTCAGTATGTCACCAGGTTGAAGAACAGTTGAAATATCAGTTACCCGGTCATGACTTATCTGACTAACATGAAGCAGGCCATTAATTCCACCAATATCAATGAATGCACCATATGGCTTCAGGCTTTGAACAGAGCCAGTAACTACTGATCCAATTCCTAGCTGTGCCTGGTTGCCGGCTATGGCCTTGCGGTTACTGAGGACAAGTCTAGCCTGTTCCTCATCTACCTCCACAAACTTAAGAGGAAGCTCCTTCTCTAGAAGCTCTTCTAAACTTGAGTTCTGAGAAGAAGCAGAAGCATTTGAGCTGTTTGCTTCAAAAGTTTAAGAAAATTTAAACCCTCTTAGGGAGCTTGGTGAAAGATAGATTTTTTTCCCTTTTTGCCACAAAATGATCTACTTTAGAACTTGTAGAAGCATACAAGTCTTGCTAAGAAAATCGCATATCTTAATTTCAACATTGATAGAAGTGTTAGAAGTATTTTTGAACTCACATGGTAAACTAGTAATGTTTCACTAATAATTTGCAATTTGCAGTTAGTGATTGGTAAAACACAATTAGTTCCCCACCCTATAATTTGAAACTCTTGACAAACGGAAAGTTTAAGCCAAATAAGTCAATGTGGCTCCAAAGCTAACCGTTGATATTTGTGACAGTGGAACAAATCCTCTAAGGCCTTCCACCTCAGCCACCACTCCACCTTTGTTTACACCAACAACCTGCCACAAGAAGTGCGTGTAAGACACACATAGATGAAGCATTTAATGTAATCTAATCAACACTAATAGGATTAGGAATAGTTTTAGTAATGCTCAAATGGATGTCATGTCATGCCATATCATGAATATTTGATTTTCATAGTGTGGCAAGCAAACCCACCTTACCCTTGACAACAACATCTTCTGCTTGAAGCTGTCTACAACGTTCCCATGCAAGATCATACTGAATAGCCCTTAAACTCAAGATCAAGCTATCATCAGCTTCATTCTCACCAATGATCAGAAACTCCTCTCTCACCCCACCAACTATTCCTGCTTCTTCTACATGCTTAACCCTGTGGATACACGCCTCTTGCAAAGGCAAGTACGCTGAGGACTTTGCAGTAATATCAACAACTGCACCATTCGCATCTGTGCAGAACACAGTACCTTTAACCTGAATTGAAAAAATCACACCCAACCTTTATTAATTAGCTCCATAATAACACAATAAACTCACAATTCAATGCCACCCCATTATTCCCTTTCAGCTTCAAATCAAATGCAAAAGAAATCAAGTTAATAAGAAGCAATAACAGTGGGCGAGAGTGAGTAACCTTTGTGCCAACTTCAGAATCAAAGTCATACTTATCGAGAGCCACAGTGAAGTCTTCGAGAGTGAAGGAAACACCTTCCATGGGAGCAGTGCGGCACCTGTCGTAGGCTTCATGGAAGAGTTCCTTAAGTTTCAACCTCTCTTTGTTCTGTGCATTTGATATTGCTATTGAATTCACTATGGGAAGCGAAACGCGCTTCTGTGTTTGGATCCAAGTGAAGGGTTTTGAGAAGCGAGAAAATGAGAGTGGGGAACATCTCAACCCGCTGAATTGCAGAGCCAGGGACGCCATGTTAACTCAGATAAGGTGCTTCCTCATTATCTGTCACTCCTTTCACTTTGGATAATATGTAACTGTTTGTTTTAAGTTTTAACTGTTTTCTCGTTTTCCCCATTTTCATGTTTGTCCATTAACTTTTCATTAGTTTTTTACCTTCAAATCATGGAGATTCAATTAATGTCAACTTTATCTTAAAGGGAATGATTAATTAAATTTTTAAACGTGTACTTTGATAAATGAAAAATCAATAAATGATAAAATTTATTAAAATTTTAATATTTAATGTTTTAATGGATTTTAATAATAACTTCTTATGTATGTTCTTGGTATACATATTAAAATATTAATAAGTATATTTTATTAATTGGTGTTGTAAGATTGGTTAAAAAAATTTAAAGTAAAAATTTATTAAAAATTATGATAATAATTTTTCTATTGTGTATGTTATGTATAATAATTTTTTATTGAAAATTATAAGATATTTTATTTTTACTCATGTTATATTCATAAGTTTTTTTATTTTTTATATAATTTATTTCTAATAATATCACCATGTGTGATAATTTTTTTAAAAAAAATATAATATAATTACATTTATTGAGATTTAAATTCGAAATTATAAGTTAAGCTAAAACAAATTCTTAAAAGTTTATTTACATATTTAGTGATATAACATTTAATTATTAATCTAATTTATTTGTTTAAAAAGTATATTCTTATATGACAATTCTCATGATTTATGTTTCATATAAATTTTTAATAATTATATATTTTTTAATAAGGTTACATTTTTATAATTTTTTTTAAATAAAAAATAAACTTAGAATGTTCTTAAATCAAATATGATCTTCTTCGATAAGTTTTATTTTTTAAGGATTCAGAACACACACGTACATGTCAAAAACTTTTTTTTTAACTATTTATCTAAATCTTAAGAATAATTTGGGTTTACCCATGTGATGAGATTGTCAGTTATTTCATAATAATAACTTTATATCCATATTTTTAACATAGACAAAACTTAACATTCACACAAAATTATTAATTTAATCTTCGAAGTCTTTAACTTGTTGGCTCTAATTCAGTATATTCATGTGGTACATATTTATTTTGAAATGGAGAATAAAGAAAGGGATGATCTCTATGCATTTGCCATCGACATTGCCTTTGCTTTTTGCAATCAAAGCCATCACCGAAGGCAAAGAATTTGTTTCTCCACTTAGAACTAGACAATGTAATGTCACATTTATATTTAGGATCCTCAATCCAACCACCGCAGAATGTAAAAGATGCTTCTGGGTTCAATGTTAAGTTTTCAAACGACAAGGTGTCACCACAAGTAATTATCATCTTATCATTGTTCACATCATATCCTGAAATATCATCAGCTAAACGATTTTCGAAGGAAAGTGTATACCTTCGTGCACCCAAACAACCCCAATTCCATGCATATGTCACTTGAAAAAATAATATTAGTGTCACAACAATGTGCATTATAATGTTTGTGGAAATGTTAGTAACAGCTTCGTCTATCAATCTTCCTCTCATTAGTGCCATGAATAGGAATCTTCAACTTACTGATGCATGTTCATATTATGACCCTTAAATAGCTAAAGTGGAAGTAATTAATAGCTAGAGAAAAAAAAACTCCAAAAATGAACTTTAATTTGTTTTGCGTTTGATAAACTTTATTTATTATGTATAAAACTGAAGTCGAGTTCACACCAGTTTAAAGTTTGAAAACAAACTCATGTGATTAAAAATAACAAATTCTTAAGTTAAATTATTACATAAGAAAATATTAATAAAAAATATAAAGATAATTAAAGAAAAAGACAAGTGATCCACATACACATAAAAGATATATTAACAATGCTAAACATAGGAATGGCACCCTCACTGGGTGTGGTCAGGAAGAACACTTTATCCACATATCCAATTTCTTCTCCATTCAATGAGGTATCTATGAAGAGCAAGCAAAGGAGGTTTTTTCGTTTCATGAGAGTTTGACTAACATGTGAAGACTTTGCTACTTGGTGACTTGTCGCTGGAATATTGATCATCAACAAAATCAAAATCTATGAGTTACAATATTCCCTAAAAATCGGAATAAAGAGACTTTCGAAAATTATCAAAAGACCCAATCAGATAGAGAAGGATTTGGCTGATGGTGGCAATAGACAGTTGGTAAACCATTAGACTTGAGTTTGGAAAGAACATGAATCTATCATTTTTCATGAAGAACTAGCACTGTTATTATCTTTGGAAAAGCACCTCCTAAAGCTGGGATAGCTGACTTTAGGTAATCTAAAAATAAAACTTGTCAATGACTCCGCTAATCTATTTCATCCAACCAAGTTGAAAACTCCACTAAAGACCCAATGCAGATGAAACCCAAACCACATAGCCACCATTCCCTGGGAACATAGTGCCCATTTCAGCAGTTATCAGTGTCTCAGGAACACTCCATATGAACGGGAAATGTCTTCCTCACCAAAAGGTCCTCCTGAGACCCAATGAAAGATCAAGAATATTAGAGGTATAGTTGAAACTTTCTTAATCTTCTCTAACTCTGCACTAGAAATTTGTATTGGAATTAATTAATACTGAAATTAAGGGCAATCATATCTTTCCAATTCTCAAATTTTATTTCCTAATTTTTGTTTGTTTCAACAGAGTCCAATTTTTCATACTTCCTTTGCTTACTGTTTGCGCCGTGTGTAGAATCAATCGAGATTCTAGGTCAAACCTTTTTATACTATTTAAAAACATATTTATAATTAATTTTTTTAAATAGGATTATAAATGATAAATATATCTTTAAATGAATTAAAACGTATAAGTGTATACTATAGAAATGAAATTATTTATTTAAAGAGTAAGTTTTGGTTAATTTATTTTATTTAATAAATTTTTAATAAGCATAAAATTTTATTAATTTGACAATTAATTTAAGAGTTTTTAAAAAATACATTAAGTGCTTATTTGAAAATAAGTTAATCTAGTGTAAAATTTATAATATTCAAAATGTGAACTCAAACACAGTATAAGTCTACAAAATTTCATGTTACATAATAATTATTATTGTTAAATATTTCTTAATGTTCGGTAAATTTATTTTAATCATAATTTGAAATTGAGATAATAAATTAAAATATTTAATACAAATTTTTAAGCCTTTTTTTGTTATATAATTAATTACTATTAAATTTTAAAAATATTTAGTACAAGATTATAAAGTTGGATCATAAATTTGACTACAATTTTATTGATATTCTCATATATCTGGATAACAAATTTTATTACTGATTATTATAAATAATTAAATGTGTGCACAAGGAAGGAATTAAAATTAATAATTAGTTAATTTGAAAGTAATGTTTTAAAACTTTTTAAAAAATAATTATATTTCATTTTATTTTCTTTTGTACAGTAATTATATATTTGGAAAAAAGAAAAAAGAAAAAAAGAGTTGCTAAGAGTTGGGCCAAGGCCTAACATACGAGAAAAGACAAGATCCAGAGAAGTTGCCTTTATAAATGTCACACGGGGCACTTACTTCCATTGGTCGCACATTCTCACACACGGAGTCTAGTTTCGTTGATGGGTTTTCATTGGTCTTGGTCATGACACCTAAACCGAACTCTACCTATACCGAAAGAGAGAGAGACACGAAATTGCAAGCTCGGTTTCTTGATGTCATCTCTATAAACTTGCTATAACAAAATTTGCAGTGTCACTTGTCTAGCTTTGAATCTTTCGCGTGATCTTTTTTAGGCCCTTTATCGCTGCTACATCACTTTCTGTGTCTCCATTCTTAATCTTATTCTTTTAAAATATCTCTTAACACAGGTTTTGGAATTTCTGTCCTAGATTTTTTGGCCCATTAAAGCCTATCGAATGCATTGTTGGGTTACACATTTTCTCATTCTTGATTATTCAATAATGCTGCAGATGCCTCTGTGAGATGAGTTCTTCGTTCATCATCTGCAAGATTAAATCTTGGTTCCAAGACTTTCACCTGGGTCCGATGAGAGATCACTTTTCTCACTCTCCCAATGCCAAATTTCTTAAGTTAGTTCTTTTCTTTTCTTTCTTGCCTGGCTTCACTTGCTCCTCATCCTACTGCAGTGCCCGGGGTTCCACGTGTCAGAATTTGGAGTTGGTGGCGTGTGCTCGGACCCACCTTTTTCTTTTCTTTTCTTTGAATCTTTCTCAAATCTTTGAAGATCTCTGCAAGTGAGATTGGTTCTCTTTTGTTTCCTTTGATTTCTTGAGGTTTCGTTTGTCAATTTATTCACCATTGGTACCTCGACCCGCTCTAGGTGCGTGGATTTTATCTGTTGTCTTGCATTAGATCAATATGATATTAATTAGAATTGATATTATGATTTAATCACGTTTAGATGGACTTTTGAGTGTGCTTGAGATCGAGAATAATAAAGCGGATTCGTAATTGAGTCTTTGATTTCATTTTAGACTTTAAATTGATTCAAATGAGTCTGGAATATGTTTTTTCGGATTTTATTTTGATTTTAGAACAAGGTTTTTGATTGAGACTTATGGAGATGAGTTGAGATTTATATAATTGCTTTGAACAAGATTTAAAGTGTCTTTCATTATGGTTTATGAATATATTTTGAGGATTTGATTATGAACAAGATTTTGAGAGGTTTCTTAAGGTAGAAATCATAACAGATCTGGTGATAGATATGTGTCAGAGGCTCAGAGGAAAGGGCTACCCATTGCGGTCGGAAGCCTATAAGGATAGGGCTATCTACTGAGATAGGACCTCCTAAGAGGAAATGGCTATCCATTGAGGTACTGTCCCTCTCTGCGGAAGGGACTACCTGATGAGATGCAGCCGCCTGGATAGAGGATCTTATCTAGTGAGATGGAGCTGCCGAGATAGGCTGGCCAAGCGAGGTGCAGCCGCCTGGCTGAGTACCGGCATATTCTATCCCAGAGTTGCATGTTATGATGAGAGAAACTTCTCTTTATAACAAGATGTTTTCAGTTTTCTGATAATAAATGTTTTCAAGTATTTTGATAACTAAGCTGTGAAATGG